GAATGGCCGCTACTTAAACTTTAATAGAATATGATCTATTTTTTTTTGCGGTAGTGATAACATGATAAAAAAGCGCTCAGAAGGGAAAACACCAAACTTAGGGAACTGCATTTGCGAATTACCATTAGGCTACAATTTAAAGCGATATAGACAAGTCCTAAACCTCCACAAGTAGAGGCTAATAATTATTACAGTCATTTGGTTTGGTAAATAATTGCGGACTAAGAGGCCACTTGCATATGCTACGGATCTAGTCCTATGATCTATGTCGCTTTTGTGACTCTGCTAAAGAGACCGCACCTCCTCCTGCAGGGTGAGGTCGTTTAACGGAGAGAGCGGTGCATACAACATATCTATATGGCCAAGACAAGAGCATATACACTCCCTACCACTGGGATATATTCTAAAATTTATAGGGGCTTAGATGCAGTATTGTGATGGGCTGAGTGCGCAAGAGACCTACTAGTTCGTAGTTCTTCCTCTATTTATATCTTATACATCTTTGATGCTTGTGAGGTTCTTGGAAAAGGCATCGTTAGAGTACAGGAAGCAACAATATATTCTGAGAGCCAAGAGTGAGTCAACACTCGGAGAGCACCTACGTGGTTTTTTCCGGGCTATAAACTGTAAATACTTCAAATATATCAATATCAAGTGTCTGCGTCATTAAGCGTCTTTCTTGTCTGAGATGACCGCTGTTTTGGCGAAGGCAGGAACCTAAATGGTGGAATCTGAGGCTGGTTGCCTCCTCGAAGTCATTCAAAGAGAAATTAGTTTGCACTTGCTTCCACTGGCAAGGAAAAGCTGGTCGGATATACAGAAGACACAATAGACATGCCTAACAGATTAAGAATAGAAATAAGTATTTAAAATTATAGTAAAAGTTAGGAGTCACTGGCCGATAGCGAAACATGCAGAGATAATGGAAGAAGGTAGAGAAGAAGGTGTCCAGCATTTGCTTTGTGAATGCCCAGGTCTAGGCATAAAATATTAAGAAGACACATATGTATAAACAAAACTATCAGATATATAAGGATCTTATAAAGGAGATAGCGGCAAATTCAACAAGGAATCAAGACCGAGTACTAAAGATACATATAGGCAGTTATCATTTCTACGAAAGGGCATCAGAATGGTGCAAAATACACTAATTGTATCGTATTTAGTAGGTTACTATGAAGCACAGCAACCAACAATTAGACTCTGTGGACCACGACTGAACTATCTTGCCAAAACTGCTCGTCTAACCTTACGTCAAATAACCTAACCGAGGGCTCCGCAATATTTCATAAAAGTCCTGTATACAAATGAAATAGATTTACTTATACATGCAAATGCTTCAAGAGGATATAGTTCAAATAACTGGAAAAATATAGATAGTGGGACGTACTGTACATACCTAGGAGGTATCTATCTATATATATAAAATTAAGTGGCAGAACTTCCTGTTCGCATACTCCTCCTAGACGGCTTGCCCGATATCAAAGAAGTTTTCAGGGGTGATTGGGGTCTGTGTGGAGGGTGCACATAAGAAATTTCATGTGTGTATCTTTGCACGTTTTGCAAAAACAAAAAAAAAAAATTAATTCTGTTTGGCTTTACGTGTTTTTTCGGATTTCTATCATTCCTAGACGGCTTGCCCGATTTCAATGAAATTTTC